AAGCCAAGAAGGATGCATAAGAACCGAAACATTTGATAGGCTATATAACCAATAAGGACCTGAAAAAATAGCCAAATCCATCTAAAGTCAACTTAAAAGCTGAATGAACTTATTTGCTACTGATTCAAAAATTTATAGTCAATGCAAAGTAATAGTAATAGTAATCTAAATCATGATGGGGACATTGACATTCTAAGACAACTTATACTTGGTTACGACAGACACACGTGTTGTAAACATTAAACTCATCAGTGGCGCTCGAAACAGTTACAAAGGCAAATCAAATGCGAAGTTGGAGAGCATAAAAACCGAAAATTCCCAAAAGTTGCTCAGCTAACCACAGCTAAACTACAGTATTACAATAGTAATAGTAAAGCCGGTACGTTTTAATGTTCTTACTACTATACTTTTTACAGTATAAGATGGTCTTTAAAACTATAATGATGTGGAATACACAATCAGACAGTTTAAATCACAGACAGTGCAATTTGCAATAATATAACTTTTTACCCATGCTCAATGGAATCGTCTTCACTTTCTCATTAAATCGTGCGTATCAAAAAGTTTTTAGAACTGTATATACAAATTTCCTGTTTATGGTCACGAACAATCTTACTTTGTGACGAACCACGCTCGTTCCATCAACAAATACACCAAAGGCTTATTCATTACACACAATTCTGGTTTTGGTCAATTGGTTGATGTTTCAACAAGTCGGAATTTCAATTATGCACCCCTTCCGTGTAACTTGTTTTTGAACAAATGCATACGGAACCTTCGCAGAGACAAAAAAAAAAAAAAAACAAACAACCATCATCTTGTCGATTTCTTCAACTTTATTTTTAAATAAATTGATGATGTCCATGATGTCAATTAATAACCGACATGTCAGTGAGTACTTCATCTACTATATTCAAGTGAACTTGTTAGACTCTAACGTTACTACCGAGACTAGAATGCCCGCTTCTTATCTGTATCTTTTTCTTGATATTGTCAAAGACAGACGACTTCAAACAAGGATTTATGACAAACGTAACGATTTCAGTACAACATTTGCCAACATCCATTTCTAAGTAATAGCATACCCTCTGTCCCATCATATGGCGTCTACATATCCCAACTGAAACATTACGCGCGTTCGTTATGACATCATACGTACTTCATTAAAATTTATGTGCTCATGACAAAAAACAGCAAGTTTACGATAAAGAATTACTGAAATCTTACATTTTTGTAAGTTTTACGACCTTCACATCTTGGTTAACCGTTATGACATGTTTCCGCGATCTCTGATCTTCATATATTAGAATAGGTGTCTGAACTGTTAATTAATCGGTTGTGTTCTATTCCCGTTTGCGATATTTTGACTAAATGTTGATTTGCATGGCGAATTATGCATTCATAGCAGAAGACAGTTAACATGTCGACAAACCCGAATTTATGCAATTCCGTCATGTTTTTCTTATGTTGATTTGTATTTAATAAATGGAATAAAAAAATTGAACATTGGTAAACTACTGTAACATATGATTTTTTTAATTTTTATTATATGTTGTTTGTTTTAGATTGACATTTTGTCGAAGCCTTTTTTTTTAAATTGAGAGAAAGATCACTTCTGATCATCTAAGTGCATAATGCACTGTTATAAATCCTAAACTAAGTTGACGAGGAAAGGCATTATTCGACTAATTAAAGTTTAATATTACATATAACATGAGATTACCGAGTAATTCAAGTCAAATTTCCGCTGATGAAAGATAAAAAAAAAACAAAAAAAAAACAGGCAATTAGGGTCGATTGAGAACAAATGTTTACAAAAAAAGAGTTGATTTCATATTTCCGATTGTAAACATTCCGCTTCAATGTACCAACATATCAGGGGCGCTTGCATATGGAGTATATATCTCCCTGTTTAAGCGATATTTCAGAGTATGCGATTCCTATCACGAATTCCTAGTAAAGGTGTGCTGCTTACAAGGAAGCTATTGAACCAAGGATTCCAAGTTGTGAAGTTGAAGTAATTCCCTCGAAAAGTCTACGGACACCACCGCAAAATGGTTGATCGTTATGGAATATCTGTCACAGATGACCACATGCATGTTCCAATCATTGTGATCACAATCCCGTTTTTTCTCAATTAAGACATCACCGAATGAGACTCATTTTCGAATTTGTACTTACCATGAGTAAGATGACTGGTGCCACTAGTGTAGTAGGATCTGCTTTCTGTTCCGAAGCAGTCCATATTATTTGTGGGGTTCGTGTTGCTCATTCTTAAGGTTTTTATGTAGTGTTTTGAAGACTTGTTTGTCTTTTCGTGGTCTTTCATTTTTTCCCATTGCGTTACCCGTTTCTCTCGTCTTATTACTTTTGAATGTTCCATTGGTATCTTCCGTCTCTTTTTTAATATCTCTGCATTTAAGAAATTGTGTGAAAAGACAGGATCATCTCTTATGTCATATACCTCTTCAATTGTTTCGGTTCTTATAAATCCTTGGCTTTCAAATATTTGGCTTTGAGCGTTCCTGATGAAGGTAAATCCAGAAAAGCGCTTCGGACGCATGGAATTTATATAACGTGTTTTCATTTTTTATGGCTAGCTCTGATTTCTAGGTGAGTCTGACTTTAATATTTGTTATTTTGACTATTTCGACTTCACGTGTTTATTATGAAATATTGTAGTCTCGGAAACGTTTCTATTGAAGATAGATGTGGAAATGCTGTTTTGATGCACGTGACCAAGATGATTAATTTCTTTACTGTTGAGATGACGTAATATCATGCGAAGAAAACTCAAATAACATTTTTTTCCCATATGATTCACTACTAAGCCATACTTTCATTGTCACCATTATTCTTATATATTTAATTAACAAGAGACGGTCATATATTAATGGTTTTACAGCTTGTTTTGTTTCACTGAAATATCCCTGAACTCAATTAAACTAAAACCAGGAAACTGGTGACAATTTTATTTTTCTCTCTTATAGACCTTATTTCAAAAGGCAATGGAATGACAGTTAATTTCTATTAAATGAATAACGAGTGTTTTCTTTCTACAGTGAAGATGGCCTGCATATATACTGTGATGAAGTATATTCAATCACAGTTTTGCCTTAATACCAAAACCTGTTTTTAAAGCATTAAACTACTATTACACATGCTCAAATAAACATCGTCTTAATAAACAGTTTTTTTTCTACAAAAATGCGAAACGTAGGTACAACTTCCTTGTTTTGGGTCATGAGGCATCTTAAATGAAGAAGAACCATTCCCACAAAAAATACACGTAAACATATTGAGTTATTTTATCAAGAACATATTTGGTAAGTTAATATTTCAACAGGCAGTCGGTATTCCGATGGGTAGTTATGTGCTCCACTACTGACCTTCCTATTTTAGTACTCATATGAAACATAATTCTGAAAGACAAAACGAAAAAAAAAAAAAACATTATGCAAAGTTCTTTAATTCACTTTCAGATACTTCTATGATGTTCTGTCACTCAATAACCCACATTTCAATAAGTGCTTACATCTCATGTCCTAGAGACCTTGAGATTTAGTATACTACGGAAAGGTTTTCTATTTCTTCCCTGATCTGTTCTTCGATATATTACAGATAGACGACTTCAAGTAGAAAATATGATTTCAATTTTCCAATTGTCAAATTCCCATTTCGCAGTAATAACGTGCCCTCTGCTCCATCGTATGGCGTGTATATGTCTCAGTTCATACGTTACGCTCGTGTATGTTCAATCCATACGGACTTCATTAACAGTGGAAATTATAAATAAGTTCCTTACACAAAAATTACTCCAACACAGTTATGAGGAAGAACGGTTAGTCGACACTGAAAAAATTCTAGAGTTACCATAATGAATTGTTTTATGGATACAATGTGTCGGTATCTCAACTCACTAGCGACGTGTTTCACGATTTTAGATCTTTACATAAAAGTAAAGTCGTCTGATCTGTACTTTACCGATGGTGTCCTTTTGTCGATTGTGATATTTTGGCTGATGGCGGGTGATAAGTACCGATTATCAGGTTGTCTGCATATTGATATTGTAAAATATCAGCTGTGAGTCACAATATGAAGCTTTTTGTAGAGTGAGCGCAGCGGAGGAGTTGTAAAATGCTTTATATTGTGTCGAGCAGCCGATTTTTTATAAAAAAATATGCAGACAACCAGACAATCGATTTATCGGGTTGTATTTCCTTATTTTGCATGATAGAAACAAGCGTTTTACTTTGTTTCACCAGCCAACTGGAAGATGACTTGATAAGTTTGGGTCAAACCTATCAACATTGGTTCATTCATTATGAGGTCGTTGATATATCCTAATCCAAGTTATTAAGGCTGGGTCAACGTATTTGAAGTCACAAAGTCGTTATATGCAATATATTTAAGAGCTGAGCAGAGCCATATAAACAGTGGAACGACCGATAAATGCACATGAGGAGACGCTTACCCTATCGACGCACCTAGTATCGTTTCTTTTGGATGTTTAAGTTTTATTTTGTTACTTTGGTTTGTCTATTCTATAAAGATGTTCGAGATTTGAACATCGGTAAACTCTGTGGCTTCACAGAAGGTACAATCATTCAAAAGAAGTGTGCGCATGGAACAAAAAAAAAAAAACAAAAAAAAAAACGTCGAGAAATAAGCTATATGTTTAAGGGTACTTTGAAAATAAGGAACACACCTACACAGAGATATGCCATTTTACTTACGCTAGAGTATTAACCTATGTGAGTGATGGCTATCATATAGATGTACACGAAGATCTCGTTCAATTTTGTAGTTATGCATGCAGAAGAAACCCTGGAATATCTGTAATAACGTGATGTTTTCATCGACGTGTGTCCTGTGAAGACCGGTAGTTCCAGTATGTCATTCAGATCTGTGCACAAGACAAGTACCGCCTTGTAATTCAATCAAGGCCAAAACTTCTTTAAATAAAGTTATCAATAAATGAGGCAATGAAATGTAGCAAACAATCTTCAAATTTTATTATCATAGGGTAGTAGTACTCGTTATTGAAGCCTTTTCATATCATTTCTTTCAAATACATAGTACAGTTACATACAATTTCAGCATTTACTTTCTGCCACGTAATATATTTTATCAACCTCTAGCGAAAAAAAAAAACAATTGCAATTTTGAAATAATACTCTTTTATCTCATATTTTGTTTTAAACATTTGCAGAAAGGCTGTTTCAAATATTCACAAAGGAACCCTTTCATTTTGACCAAGACCTAAATGTTTTCTTATATTTTACTTAAATGCCTCCTAAGTTTTTTCAACCGTATTCGTGACTTTTAAATTGAATAGGGTAAACATATCACGTTGTCCTATAAAATAAATCGGAAACCTTGCCTCACATGGAAAATCAGAAGTCATGGGATATTCAAAATTATCAGCAACACGACGGGTGCCACAGGAATACCTGAGTTCACCCCCAGTTTAGGTGGGGTTCGTGTTGCCAGTCTCTTATTTCCTATGTAAGTGTTTTGTGGACTTGTTTTTTTTTCTGTCGTTTCTTTGCAGGGCGGTGTCAGTTATTCTTCGACTTATGAGTTTAGAATGTCTCCTGGGTATCTTCAAATTTTATTTTTATTAACTAAAACGGAAATCGACATTTAGACATTCGAGACAGAGTAAAGAAACTTATATACATATACAACATACAAATGTTTTCGAAAATAATCATGCCAATGCAGGCTTTTACAATCGGTTTACAGACGTATTGACTCTCGGTTCCCCCATCTGTATGTTATATACATTCTAATAGAAAGCTACAACAATAATAATAATAACATTTAAAGAAAGACTCACACAGTCTTAAAAGTTATACTTTCATGGAATAAATCTGTATAATTTATTCATATATTTTTTAATTGGTGCAATTTAGAACTTGGTATATATTGTATGTTAATTTGTCTATTGTTAAAGATGGTATGAATGTTGATCTGTAGATGTCTGTGGGAATCTCTGTTGTTGAGTTGTTTTCTCAGTGATGTATTACCCCACATCTCTATTTTTCATTCATACAATAGTAAAACGACAAGGTATTATCATTAGTACGCTTATTACAGAAGAGAATCATTAGAAATATGCGTACTAAGTCTTGATGTCACGGAATTAAAATTGGATTGTGTTAACATGATATTAAACAACATGCAGCAAGATGATAATTCAATTATCTATGTAAATGTTTGAAAATAAATTATCAAAATTGTCACGACTATACGTATATTTACTTAGTCAATCCCAAAACTAATAAATACACCGAATCTGGTTCACCCCGAATTTAGCTAGGTGTCAAATGAGGTTACTTTTCTATATAGATACAATGTTTAGCGTTTAAACCATAAATTCCAAGTCAGATTGATCATTGCAACACAAAAGTATCTGTATTAACCATGAAGAACTGTTATGACAAAAATTTCTTGTATATTTATAAGCTGGGGTATCAGCCGATGTTGGGAATTCCAAAGGCAGCAGAAAAAATGATTTGTCAAAGGTTCACAAATGAAACAAAAGAAACAATAAGAAACGATCAAACTTTGCTGTGGGACACTGAACCTTTCATTAAAGGATCGTTCGATGTTCTCGTTAAATGATATTTACACTGAAAAAGCGTTTCTTGTTTTAGTTGTGTCACTTATTTTCCATATTGATACAATAAATCATTATTTGAATTTTGTTTCTTTAATATGATCGTTTTCCCCACGGAGATTTCGTCCACTGTTGACGTTTGAAAGTTGGATTTTTAGTGAAATATCCTTCATAGGACTGTTGTTGTTCGAAGTTTTCCATGGCCTTTGTTGTTGGATTTGCAGATACGGTTGTTCGTTTCTTTCCCCATCTAGCCTCCCACATTTGGTGTCTTTTAACTGCATTGTTGTCATAAACTGGTAAATCATGTGATTCGTCCAATGATGGTTCAAACGCAGGCATTGCTATTCCACTAAGACGAGAATTCCTTTTCCCATAGGCGATCCAACGGTCACGTTTCCCATAAGCCACTGACCAAGAATATTTTCCTCTCTTTTGAGTTCCCAGTTCACTTAAATGAGATGGGTATTTGTTCTGACTGTGATCTTTATTTGTGTCTTTGTCCCTAAAATATTCATCTAATAGTCCGTACATTCGTAATTGCCCATCTTTTTGACTGTTAATATTGCTAATTGGGACGGCGTATACACCTACAAAAGAAATGAAATATTGATAACAGGCTCAATCAAAACAGTCTTTTCATTTGCGTAAATATCTGTTCAGTAAAATAGCTACAACAAAAAAGTAAAGTCTTTGTATCGTTGTTTTGTTGCCTCATTAACGCATATCTCACATTTTTAATTTATATTCTAAAAGTTACTTAATAAGACAAAACCAATAAAAGTAAATAAATAAATCTAAAAATTAAAAACCGAACTGAATAATTTGATATTTCATCAATGACTAAAATAAGGTAAAGATATTTCTAGCGTTTTATCTAGTTTACATAAAAGGATAGTTAGACATCATGCATGATTTTGTTATACAGAATTGTTTTTCTATGTAATTAAAAATTAAATAGTTGTGCCGTATCATTCCCTAATCACAGACTATTTGCAAGTCAATAGTTTCTAACTATGAACCGGAAGTCAATAGTTTCAAACTATACACCGGAAGTCAATAGTTTCAAAAGACTATTAAACGCCAGTCAAAAGTTTCAAAGACTTTAAACCGCAAGTTAATAATTGCAAAGACCATTAATCAGGTAAATTGTTTTGCAATTATTTGTCCGATCTTTTTATCAAAAGCTTTTTCATTGGACAAAAATAACGCCATTGTGTCTTCGCGTTACTTGAACTTTTTCACATACTAAGTAAAGCACTTAAAAAACTGGGTTGCGTTCAATATAAGGCTATGGAGATGTTTACTACTGAATTTATAGCTAGCCTAGTCGCTAAATAGATCTAGATTGCCAAAAAAAACCCCGAAAAAAACAAAAAAACAAAGATGTCTAAGGGATCCAAATCTATTACATAACACGTCATTTCAGAGGCTAGCTACGTAGCATATTGTTCAACATAAATATATATCTATAGGACATTGCTGCAGTACTAGCTGCTACGACATTGAACGCAATCCTGCAGAAAGGTTTTGAGTTAAAAGTTATATCCGTTTGCACCCTTCTTGGAGGGCAACTAGTACACTGTCGTCATCATTTTCTAAGTATGTTTTCAAATTAAAAATAAATTTCTTATTAGGAACAATGTTTCAAAAAGGGAGACAACTCTATATAAAAAATAGAACTAAAACATAACCAATGTATGGTATGGGTTTGTCGTCGTCTGTGAATACCTTGGAGTACAATAATACAATTTTAGTTACCGGCAATCAAAACCATGAAAATTAAACACTAGGATGCCTGCTTTTGATTACTGTTAATATGAAAACACACACATAACACAATGAAAAAATGCCTTTTTTGATTTGTTTTTCGGTTTAATAAAACACTTACAAATGTAATGACTAGTCCATATGTGAATACTGTTTACTTAATGATATTCTGGCATTTTTATCATTTTTTGTTGCTTAAACATATATTATTTTATAATGTTTTATGTACTGTTGTTTGTCTTTTTGTCGTTTTACGTTTTTTGCCATGGCATGGTCAGTTTGTTTTCGGCTTGTGAGTTTAAATATCCTTTGGTATGTTTTGCATCTCGCTTATCAAGATAGCTAAACATAATTAATCTAAGTTAAAACATCAGAAAAGTCCTCTCGCAATACTGTCAAGAGAAAGAAACAGATCATGAACAAATTCTTAAATGCACAATTAAATCTCTTTAACTTTAAAATTGGTTTGAAACTCATCGATACAGTTTTTATTTTTTAGTTTAATATATTATATATATATATTATTTAACACTTGATACACACTTTACGGTATTTTTGTCATAAAAGATAACTGATATAACAAAACAGAGGGTGAAAATTAATTGTTTTATTTTAAATTATTTCAGTTCTAAACTAATAACAAATAGCTTTTGCAAGTAAAATATCTATTTTACTATCGATTTGGAATTGGATTCGAAACTCTAAGCTGAATTAGTTCAAATAAATCATCCTCCTTATTGTTTTTGTGTCTCCCAGGGCAGGCAATAGGACATCGCTTAACAGAAAATACTATTATCAATCGTATCACGTGATCACACAACATTTCCGTTATCTTAACGACAATACGTCAGATAGATTTACGGCAATCTATTACGATAGTAGATATGTATCAACGTTTCAAGGAAACAGCTTTGATTTCGATTTATCACCGTTATTATTCTTTGTTCGATACATTTTTAAAGTCATGCATTTGTAAATGCAAAAAGTCATGTCTAAGAAATATTATAAAGAAATATATTCCAATTTTGTATACATCTGTTTATGTTATAATTGTGTTTGTTCCATCAGAAAAGATATGTGCTATCTGATGAACTTTAGAAAAGATGAATTATACTTAAACCCGTTCCTGAATCCATTAACACTTACTTCGTCTAGGGGTTCGACGACTTTATAATCAGCACTGCCTTATACAGATCTATATAGACCCTTGTTAATATTCTCATAAACATTTTTTCCTCGCTACCCTCACTTTTGTTAGTAAGTTCCATGATTCCAGAAACACTTGTTGTTGCACTCGGAAACCACATGACATTTTTTGTGTTGTTTTATTTTATTTCATTTTAATGGCCAGAGAAAATTAAATTGTTCTAGGTGACACTTCTAAGAAACAAAAATACAATATGATACCGATGTCTGTACACACGGCACATGCCTCGTGTGAGTACAGTGTAACGTTTTAAATTTTATTTAAGTTTTGTTTAAATATCTTACATGTGCATGTGGAATAGAAAAAATGATTTAATTTACGAGACCAAAAGGGCGTTTTGTGTGTCTTTTGCCGCACTGCAAAGCCTAGAAAGATTAATTAATATTCGTTATTACAAATTTTCGAATTTAAGATATCTCTTTAAAATTCATTATTCGAAGTCCAGACGTACCATTCAGAATAAATCGTTATTGTTATAAACCAACAAGGTCAATGAAATGTCTATTTTTCTTAATTGCGCCATTAATGAGAAGAAATACATTTTACTATTCAACTATTGATAGCAAACAATTTGTAAGTAAAGTTAGAAGCATATACATGTATATACTGGCTTATATACTAAATAAACTTATCATTGATACCAGGATTGAAAATTTTGTATTTGCTACAGACGCGCGTTTCGTCTACAAAAGACTCATCAGTGACGCTCGAATAAAAAAAAGTTAAAAGGCCAAATAAAGTACGAAGTTGAAGAGCATTGAGGACCAAAAATTCCTAAAAGTTTTGCCAAATACAGCTAAGGTAATCTATTTCTGAGGTAGAAAAGCATTAGTATTTCAAAAATTCAAAGTTTTGTAAACATAATTATGACCATATCAATGATAATTCATGTCAACACAGGAGTGCTGACTACTGGGCTGGTGATACCTTCAGGGAATAAAAACTCCACCAAACACATCTAGTTTTCTGCAGACGTTGATCACCACTGTCGATACTTCTAATTGAGAACAAGTTATGTACTAAACGGGCTCGCGATATCTTCCATTTCTAATTTAATTTTATTGTTTTACCTTATCATAATATCATAATCATTAGTTGGTCATATGAACACTATTCTATTGTTTAACTCTAAACAATAATTGTGCGTGGGAGATTAAGCTGGAAACAATGAACGGAACGGAATAAGATTACCTGTACATATTATGAAAAATATTTATTAATGTGAAGAGAGTTTAAAAAAAAAACCATCGCTATTGGGCTTTCAAAACTACTGTAATGACGCAGATGACGCTTCCAGATCGGATTTATAATTACAATGTAATTTGTAATTATGTAGCCAATTCTTTGATTCATTGCTAAAGGCCTTTAATACATTCTACACATATGACAAATCGGCGACAAATACATAAAAATAGAAAAAATAGTAATAAATTTACTTTCATTAATTAATATGTTTTTCATCTGAAGGTTACCTGCAACGTAAACAAATTCCAAGACACCACAGATATAACAACGGCGTCTCAATCTAAGACCATAATATACAATCCAACTGACAGACGATAGAACACGAAACTATTCATTAAACTTCCAAATATGCAATATTCCTTTTTCTGAGTTCTAAACATGTCTTTTATTAAAAGTTGCTGGCATATATTATTGGCTTTTCGAATCATTATATAATTTTTGGTTAGTGTCAACTACAGCAAAATCCGTGTTTGTATGTCTATTATCTCTTGAATAACGACAATTTCAAAATATAGCTATAATAGAATATGTGTAGCTCATTCTGTTAATAATATAAACGGTACCAACTATTTTTAATTTTATCATTATAAGGTCTGCAGACTTGAATTAAAATGTTTAAAAATTGTAAGCTTATTTATGTTTTGAAGGAAAAAAGATCTCCTCTGCTCAATTAAGCAAGTTATTTACTACAGTTTATAGCATAGACGGTTGAACATACTTGTTGTCTTTAATTACAGGGCATTACAAAAAATGTTTTTGAAAAGTATGAAAAAGGTTGTTAGAATATTCCCACTATGCGAAGTGATTTAATGACTTATTAACATCAAGTTCATAATAATCCCAATGTCACAAAAGGAATTGGGATCAAAATTGTGGATGGAATTATACAGTCCTTGTCTCCATGAGAGCCTAGACTATGATATCATTTTGTAGACGAAACGCGCGGGTGGCGCAAATACAAAACTTCAATCCTGGTATCTATGATGAGTTTATTTTCCCAACCCATGTTCTAAGTTATGGTCAAAAGGTCAAGACTGCTATTCTTTTCTAGATAGTATTGATCTGATCTCAGATTAGATTGTTTGTCAATTTCATACTCAAATATAAATCTTTTATCAAAATTATCCATTAAAAGAAACCAAAAGCATCCTTATTTTTTTTTTTAATTGCTATCTGTAAGGCCTAATTTAAAAAAAATCTCAATATCTGCTATAATACACTGATATTTGTGATAGTTTGGGGGCAATTAGCCTGACATATTGTATCTACAAATATCTAATGTTTAAGACCGTATGATAAAGATCGTATGTTAACTTGATTATTTGTTGTGGGGTTATAGTTGGGTTGCTGTCTCCTTGACGTAGTACA